AAACTTTAATAACATGTTACAGACACTGCAGTGGAGCAGCATTGAGTAAACTTTATTAACATATTGCAGACACACTGCAGCTTCAAATAAACTTTCTTAACATGTTACAGACACACAGCAGCTTTAAATAAACTTCATTAACATGTTGTTACAGACACAGTGCAGCTTTAAATAAACTTTGTTGACATGTTGTTACAGACACTGCAGTGGAGCAGCTTTGAATAGACTTTATTACCATGTTACAGAAACACTGAGCACTGGAGCACCTTTAAATAAACTTTATTAACATGTTACAGACACACTGCAGTGGCGCAGCTTCAAATAAGCTTTATTAACAAATGTAAACATTCCCTCTAGCTGTTGGAGACAGTGAAGCGTTTCATGACTCTGCGGGTGAAAAGTGATAAAGAGTACGCCGCCCTCCTCCTCAGCATGACTCAGCAAACAGAGAAACAAGAGACTGCAGACTACGTCAGCACCGTCAGCAAGGTGAGCCAATCACCTGTGAGTTCAGTGGGTGATGCTGCGGTCACATGACAGAAAGACAAAGCAGTAGAGTCGCTTTAAATCATTATAAATAATGTATTTAGAGCCTCACTGTGTGTGTCTGTCAGTCGTGGTCACAGGTGGTTCGTCAGACCGAGGCGTTGGGGCGAATCATGAGGAGTCATGCCGACGATCTGAACTCCGGCCCTCTACACCGCCTGGCCACGCTGATCCGAGACAAGCAGCAGGTGAAGAAAAGCTACCAGAGTCTTCATCAGCAGCTGGAGAGCCACAACCACAAGGTCTGTACAGCAGATGCCAAGCAGGGAGAGATTTCTGCAGCTTTTTGTCAGCTCAGGGTGAAGCTCAGCTCTGATGGAAACGCACCAACACAAACAAGACCAGTTTGAACCAATTGTACAGATCTTCTGATCATTTTTGCCATTGATTAATTAGTCATTGGGTCAGTACAGCGTCAGAAAACCGGTCACAATATCCAAAAAGAGAAATGGGTCAGTCTTTGTCCTTTGAGAGAGTGCTGTTGTTCCAACAGTTCAGGTTTTGCTCAGAGTGATCCCACCAATGATCCACATCAACATTTAGTCTGAATATCCAAAAGCTTTAAGACAACAGATTCTACTGATGTTGGAGCCTCAACAGTGCAGGAGAGAAGAGAAGGGGAGGACATGTAGCAAGTCTTGCCTTGACTCAGAAGTGACTAATAATCCTATTCATGGAGCCCATGCTTAGCCAGTTAGCTTCCAAAGAATGTTTTTAGCAGGAAATATGGATCCATTCATACACATGTGGACAGCATTGTTGGTACCCCTCAGTTAATGAAAGAAAAACCCTCAACGGCCACAGAAATAAGCCCTGTTCTGCAACAGGATAATGACCGAAAACACACAGCTAGAAACAGCCAAGACCGGCTCAGAGGAAACACTGGACTGTTCTGAAGTGGCTTCTATGAGCCCTGGTCTCGATCCTATTGAACATCTGTGGAAGGAGCTGAAACATGGCGTCTGGAGAAGGCATTATTCACACCTGAGACACCTGGAGCAGTGTGTTCATGAGGAGTGGACCAGAACACCTGCTGAGAGCAGCACAAGTCTCACCGACAGTTACAGAAACCGTCTGATTGCAGTGATCGCCTCAAAAGTTGTGCAACAAAATATTAAATTCAGGGTCCCATCATTTATGTCCAGAACTGTTTCATGAGTTTATTTTTTAAATAATTCTGTTGAACGGCGGTTCAAAAGCAACGTCTGATTTTCATAGAATTTTTATTTATTATTACTTTTGTCAGATTCAAGTTATTTCTGTGACCGTTGCGGGGTTTCCTTTCATGAACCGAGGGGTACCAACAGTTTGGTCCATGTGCCTATATACACGAGGTGGGACTTTGTGGAGACACAATACTAGCCTGGTTTGAACATTTTAGACCAGAAATTATAAATGTGTTCAATCACTGGATCTGCTGGAAGCTGTTCTGTTTGTTTCCTCTCCAGACTTCATGGCTGTTGGATATATATTTCTGGAGATTCTGAACCTTAAAAATGGCATCACACTGAGCCAGATGTTCCAGTTAAATAATGTATGATATTCTGACATGCTGAGACGAAAATGTGGGTATATCTGAATCACTGATTTGCAGCTGTTCATAAGCAGAGGTTTATTCTAGTGTATTTTCAGTTAGCAGGCCTGATGAGGTCATCTGGTGCAGGTGGGAACGTTTGTACGCCACAGCAGAGTGGAGCATGAGGGCCTGAAGAGTCACTGTGAATGGTTTTTTCATCTTCTGTCGGTGATCATTTGTTGTTGTCAGGTAACCAGAAGTGAGCTGGAAAAGCTAAAGGCAACGTATCGTCAGCTGAGCCGTGACGCAAACAACGCCAAAGAGAAATACAGAGAAGCTCTGGCCAAAGGTTTGTCCTCCTCACAGAGCTGCCTGATGTTGTGGTCGATACTCGGACCACACCACTCCCATCAGCACCGAGGTCGCCATTGTCTGAACTGGTTTTTAAATCTCACTTCTCCCCTTTGGCTCTCTTGTCCAATCACAGGCCGGGAGGCAGAGCGTGCCCGTGAGCGCTATGACAAAGCGACGGCGAAGCTCCACAACCTTCACAATCAGTACATGTTGGCGGTTTGTGGTGCTCGGACCCAGCAGGACGACCACCGCCGGCACGCGGCGCCTGCCCTGCTGGACGGCCTGCAGAGGATGCAGGAGGACATGACGCTCGCCCTGTGAGTCACATGACCCCACACCAAGTCACATGACCTCTGACACACCATCCGTACTTTACTGCACTAGAAGTATCCAGGAGGAGTACTGTGAGACGTGTTTCTCTGTATTACTGCAGTAAAAGTATCCTGGAGGAGTACTGTGAGATCAGCAGCCTGCTGACTGAGGAGGTTGTTAAGGTCCACCAGGAGATCTCAGCAGCTGTTCAGCAGATCGATCCTCTGACTGAGTACCAGCACTTCATCGACGCCTACAGGTCAGAGATTACCTGGTTACCAAGGTAGCCTTCTGTTTGTCTTTCTCCTGGTTGACGTGGTAACCGCCTGTCTGTCTGTCTGTCTGTCTGTCTCTCTCTCTCAGATCTCCGGAGACTCCGGAGGCGAGCGTGGAGTTTGATGCGTCCCTATTGGAGGACACGGACAACCTGCCGGCCAATGAGCTCCTGTGGAACACGCTGACCGCTGACAGCCTGCAGGCCATGTGAGCTCCTCCACAATAACAGTGTCCTGTGGACGGTCAGGTTGTAGGCCTCCAGGACATGGTTTTAGTTTTACAAACTGTTTGACAGCGTTTTCTTGTTCAGAGGTTTGTGTTCAACCTGATGTGACACATTTCACCAGATAATTAATAAATGTCAAAGAAACGGACATACAGTGACCAACATGAAGCTCAGCAGATCCTAAACACAAAGCTGTTTGTTTGTTTGTTTGTTCCAGTGTGACATCAGCAACTGAGGAACTGGCGCTGACTCAGCAGAACCTGCGGACCAAGGAGGCGTTGGCCGATGATCTCGATGCCAAAATCCAGATGAGTCAGCAAAGCGCGGAAAGGAAGAGCGAGTGAGTGTGAAGAGGCGGAGTCAGAGCTGTGTCCATGTCCTGACTGTCCTCTCTGTCTGTCCTCCGTATGTCCTGACTGTCTCTTTGTCTGTCCGGCTCAGCTGTGTGCTCCTGCTCAGTCAGAAGTTGTCCCTCCTCGAGCTGCGTCACACCGTCCAATCCCTGCGCGGCTCTGAGGCCTGTCTCTCCTCCCAGAAGGCCCTTCTGGACGCCAAGATGGCCGCCGCTGCCTCCCCTCCTCCGCCACCGCCTCCCCCTGCGCTACCATATGAGGATGATGCCCGCTCTGTGGGATCCACCGTAAATATCGCTCATTATTCTGCCATGTTTGGCCATCTGTCCTCTGACGTCTGTCCTCTGACGTCTGTCTGTCCTCTGATGTCTGTCTGTCCTCTGAT